GCCCCACGCATCTCCCCGACGCTGACGCCTCTGCAGCCGCTGCACGAGAAGTTCCACCATCAGCACCACCCACACCAGTGCCTGCCTGTGGGTAACGTCATTGGGAGCTTCACACTGATGAGGGAGGAGCGGGGCCTGGGCTCGGGGGGCAACTTCTACAGCCCCTACCACAAGGATCTGGGCATGGGGCAGGGCCTCGGCTCCCTGCCCAGCCCCAACCTGCCACCCATGCACAGCTACTCCCACTCGGCCGGACACTTGGGCGGCGAGAAGATGGTGGGTGCCAATGGCTTTGACGCCCACTCTGCCATGTTTGCCCGCATGGACCAGCCCTTCTCACGGGAGATGTCACCTTCCCAGAGCTCGGCCCTGAGCTCCCCTGGTGGCATCAGCCAGCCCCACTATGGGCATCCCCGGGCAGACGCCAGCTCCCGGCCCAACCCACCATTGTCCACCCAGACGGCTGTACTGTCTAGCCAGCTGGAGGAGATCAACACCAAGGAGGTGGCTCAGCGCATCATTGCCGAGCTCAAGCGCTACAGCATCCCCCAGGCCATCTTTGCCGAGCGGGTGCTGTGCCGATCCCAGGGCACCTTGTCGGACCTTCTCAGGAACCCGAAACCCTGGAGTAAGCTCAAGTCTGGGCGGGAGACCTTCAAGAGGATGTGGCGATGGCTGCAGGAGCCCGAGTTCCAGCGGATGGCTGCTCTAAGGTTAGAAGGTAAGATCTTTTATTCCCCCCAACCCCGGCCTGGGCAGGCAGCCAGCCAGGGACAATACAGGGCAAGCCAGGGATGGATCTGGTGAGAGTCACCAATGGCAAAGACCAGGCCTCTCATGCCGTTGCAGAAGGTGAGCCCTGGATAAAGCCACCAGGGGCATGAGTAAGGAGGTGCATTGGAGCCGTGGATTGGTGTTCCAGCTGCAGCCATGCACACAGACTGCGGGTTGCACCAGTAACCTCTGGGCAACGCAGTGTCTCTCTCCAGCTTTGCCCTGAATTGTTGCTGGGGGGTTCTAGCATCCCCTCACTCCCCGTTATGCTGTTAAAGGTGCTTATGCCTTTCCTCTCCCCTCCCCGCAAAAATCTCCCCAACCTTTGCTGCTCTGGGGCTGGTTGAATGTGATCTCTCCAGTCCTCAAGGGCCTGGGCCAAGCCCTGTGGGGTCCCACATGCATCAAAGGAGTTGGTGCCCCCAGATGACATTGTGGGGGGTAAATTGTTCATGGGAAGGCATGAGGGCTCCGTGCTGAGCTGGAGGCGACTGTGTTATGCTCAGCCTCTTTAGACTGGCTCGAAGCCAGACACCGGCAGATCTTGACGGGTGCCTAGGTCCCGGTGGCTTAGACACCCTCATGGGCTCCTGGATGGGTTTGGATGGTGGGGAGGGCTGTCTCCATCCTGGGCTATGCCAAGCACAGAGGGGCTGTAGAGCAGTGAAACCATCTTGTGATGGACCCGGGGTTCGAGTCTAGCTCATGGCCAGAGCCACCCCCGCTGTTGAGGGGGGAGCACAGTGATGCAGCCACATCACGCCCTTGAAGATGGCTGGGACAGAAGTCAGTGCCCCTCATCCCTTCCTCTCCCCATGGGCTTGGAGGGCTTTGGCCACCCTCCCTGCCTGGCCCCATGGCTGAGCTGGGCTCTTACATCCAGCTGCAGGCAGCTGGGAGCTTAGCCAGATTTATCTCCCTCAAATCTCTGCAGACGAGGCCCCTCACTCCTTCCCCACCTGACTCTAGGGGCTCTGTGGACCCCAGGCAAAGGTTTGGACTGGGAGTCCAGCCTGGTCCTCTCCCCTGGGAAGGTATCAGGGGGGTCTCATATGTTTCATGTCATATGATGGGGGCTTGACAGGAGGCAGGGGCAATATTCAGACAGCAGCAGGGGAAGGAAGGGGATGATCCCACATAGCAAGGTGAGGAGGGAAGGAGCCGGCCTGTCCATGGGGGGCCATCAATCAGCTCAGGCCCTGGCCCAGCCGTGGGTTCAGATGGCGATGGGAAGGGCTACCTGCCCATGGTGAGCTGCTGGCTGGGTGGGGCGGAGACCCCACAGGCAGCTCTGGTTCTTAAAAGGGTTGGCGTAGGGACAGGGCCCTTTTCCCCACAAGCTGGGTCCAGCCTAGCCCTGGAAGTAGCTCCCATCACTCCAGCCCCTTGGCATCAGCCCGATCAGGTCTGATCCAGCCTCCTGGGTCCTGTGAAGCTGTACCCCAGCTCTGTGCTCCTGGCAGAAGGCAGCTGGGAGTGAAGCCCAGGTGGGCAGGAAAGGGCTGGTGGGTGGACATGGGGTAGGCAGTTCCCCTCTTCAGGCCCAGGGATGGTTGCTTTGCTTTGGGGTAGATAAATCGGGGTCTCCTTGAACCTCTCACACCCCAACTCCTCTCTGCACCAAGGCAGGAGACCCCTGCTTGGAGCTTATGCAGGATGGGCTGTGGGGCCCGCTGCTCTCCCTGTGCCTCGCTCTACTTCCCCGCGCCTCGTCTTGCCCTTCCACGTCTCTGCCCTGGCGGCTCCTGGACCTGGCATGAAACAGGGCAAACGCTGTCCTGTGTGATTGTCTGTGGCTTGGCTCTTGTGAGCACCCTCACACACCTGTCATTAGTGGGCAAACACAGTGATGAACGGGCTCCTTTGGGAGGGCTGGCTGTTCCCTCTTCAAGGGACACACTCAAGACCCCCATCAGCATCCAGGAGAGAAGCAGCCCCTGGGCTGTGACATTCTGTGATCCCCAGTCTACACAGGGCTGCATCCAGCTGAAAGCTGTGACCTATGGGGAGGTGTTTGATATGTCCTGGCCAGCCCCAGCAGGCTGGGGGTGCTTGGGCTGCCGCTGAGAACCCCCAAGCTCAGAGCAGCCATGCTGGGCACTGCCCAGACTCACCATGCCCACCCCAGCCCTCCAGGATTGGCACCACATTCCCTTGCAGTAGCTGCCTCCAGACAAAACACTGGCAGAGGGAGAAGCCAGGAGCCTCAGGGAGGTGGGGGATGGCTGCAACTGCTGTGACCCAGGCCCTTGGGCGGCCCAGGCTGCTGGGAAGGGGGAAGCCCATGGGGGCCCGATCCTGCAGAGATGGGAGGGAGTGATGGAAACCCCTCGAGCGTGGAGCACTCTGCAGCAGGCAGCGAACTGCTCCGTGGAGGCACCGCTCTGTCCATCTGTGCCCACCCCCTGGCCAGATCCAGGCTGGACACATGGGACTCAGGGCTGAGTCCCCGTAACTCATCACAGCCCAGAGGGCAGCCGCTGCAGGGTGCTGCTTGCTGCCTGGGGAAAGGTCTGCCCAGTGGCCTGGCTTCCTGGGGAAGCTGGGGCCCAGCCTGGCCACAATTGGGCTATCCCCTACTTGCTTTGGACCCAGGGGACCAGAGCACAGACTGGAGCAGCCCCAGGGCTGCTCTAAGCAGTGAAAGAGCCCAGGGTGAGTTGGTGCTGGCATTTCTGCCCCACCCCTATGCCCCAGCCCCTGTCTCTGTGCCCAGGTCCCTTTGGTGTGCAGAGAACCTAGCGCCTGGCCTTTGAATGTCTCCTGGGGGATTTCCTCGTGCCCCTGCTGTGTCATTCCTGGGGACACAAGGATACCCAATGGCTCTGGCTGCGGTGGGGCAACAGGCCCTGCCCAGATGCATAGGGTGAGAACTGCCCGGGGCAATCAAAGCTCTAGGGATTTCAAAATGATCATCTGTGGGGGTCGTGGGGGAGGGTGGCAAGTGCCCCATCCTGGCCTGGGCTCGGCTCAGAGGCATCACCCAAATCACCCTGGTCCTGGCACAACCTGGTCCGGAAGCTTACCCCAGAGTAACCAGAGGAAGGAGCGGACACACGTCTGTGGCTCAGCAGGATGCCATCGCAGCACCTGGCTGTGAGGAGGCAGTGGAGCCGGTTGCCCTGAGCAGAGGGCTAATCCAGGGTGAAGTGGAGCAGACAGACGACCGTTACCCTGGGGGAACTCATACCGGGGTATCCTGCTGCCCTCCAGGGCAATTTATACTGGGGCAAGATTGATCTTCTAGTGGGGTGAGATGGTGTGGCATGTGTCCACTCTCCTGGTATTTCAGTGTCAGGACAATTTATTCCAGGGTCAATACATCGTGTGTCTGCGCTGGGCCTTGGCTGTGGGGATTGTGGGTGCTAGGGAGGAATGGAGCAGTGCAGGGGTCAGGGCATGGAGGATGATAAGTTCAAATCCCCCCCCTGCCTGCTCAAGGCCCTTTGCAGGAGGTAGAGCAATGGGGAGATCTATGGGAATCACCTTCCCCCACAACACAAACTGCTGTGGGGACACAAGGCAGCAGGGAGCACTGGCTACATCAGGAGGGACTCCTGGGTTTTGCAAAGGCAAGGTGACTGTATCGGGACCGGGGCACCAGGACTCCTGGGTGCTGTGCCCAGCTCTGGGAGGGGCTCGTGCTCTAGTGCTTGGAACAGGGGTGACTGGGAGGCAGGACACCACATGGGGTGCCTCAGCCTTACAATTTCAGGCTGGGATGTCTATCAGCGCCCAAAGGCTTTAGGGGCTTGGACAGTCCCTGAGCCATCTCCCTACAGCTACCAGCCAGGTGCCTTGGTGGGGTTGCGGGGGGTGTTTGTGGCTGGACACACAGGAACAGCTGGAGCTGAGGATGGATCCTGGTCCAGGGAGGATGTTGCCTGTGTGATGTGCACTGGACTCCTGGGTGCTCCTTCTTTGTGGCAAGAAGTGCATGTGGCCCAATGCTTAGATCCCTGCTGGGGGGGTGCTCTGGAGAGGTGCCTGGGCCTGCCAGCCTGGACCCTGGGCTCTACCCCAGCCGGGGGGCTGCGGGAGGGGGGCGACGGCTGTCAGAGCCCCATGCTGGAGGCAGGCGGTGGGGGCGGGGGTGACCTCTCAGTGTGCCCCCTGCTATCCCGGGGTGTTTAGTTTAAGAGAAGCCATCGATTTCTTCCCCCTCCTCCTTCACTGCATGGGCAGCGACAGTCACAGGCTGGTAGCAAACTACCCACAATCCCCTGCACCCCTGGCCCCAGGGGCTTTTCTGCCCGGGAAGCATCGATTTTGGATTTGCCAAAATTAGCTGCTCTTCCTGCTCCCCCCACCCTGTGTCATCTAGGCCAAGCCAGGGCCAAGTCTGCAGCAGGCGTTAGGCCCCTTCACTCTGTGCTGGCACCTCGACGCGGGGCCGGGATCCTTGTACCGCGTGGGGGATCCGGGAGAATCAGGCTCGCTGGGGTGATGTCACCCATCATCTGGCCTCCTAGCAACCTTAAAGGGGCAACCCCCACCCTCAGGTCCAAAAGGAAGAATGGGTGGTCTCATGCCCCTCCACCCACTCCCCCCCAGCACTGGCGGCATTGCTATGGCAACCCCCGGCCTGGCCGTGATGTCACCTGCCGTGGCAGTGGCAGTGATGTGGCCGACTTCCACCGGGCTTCCAGCCTGCGGCTCCAGGCCTGGGATCCCAAGGAAGCAGCTGTGGGAGGGAGCCAGGCACCTAAATCCCTTGGGCTGCCTGTCTGAAATCACAGCTCTGAATGCCCCGGTAATGGGCAGGGACCCACTGATGTCAAAAGGGCCCTGGCACCACCTGCGCCAGGCTGAGACCAGGGCATCTGACTCTAAACAAAACCCAGAGACCTGTGGGTGCCCCCTGGGACTATTTGGATAACCCCTGCCATGGCACCACTGCCACCCCCAGGATCGCTGAGGGCCCTGTGACGGTGCAGTGGGGGTCCCTGAGGGCTGCAGCTGCAGACCGGGCTGAATGCAGCTGAAATCCAGCCCAGGAGCTGAACCCCCAGCAGAAGCTGGTGTCTGGGCAAAGGATGGCCTGGTGCCTGCCTGAGTGTGCAGAGAGCCTGAAGCCCTTGCTCTCCAGCCAATCCCGCTGCCACCTCGGGGGAAGGGGGTGGGGCCAGAGTGCAGGGGCAGGGCTAATCAGGGGCTGGAGCTGCTGTATATTGGCCAGGGGTGTCCAGCTCAGGGCCTGGGTTATAGCCACAGCCTGTGCCCCCTTCTCTCTCCCTCCCACATCTCCTTCGGCCCAGCCTGGCAAGGGTTAACACGAAACCGGCTGCTGTTGCCGGCTGCGCTCAGCTCTGATCAATATTTTCTATCAGGCGCAGCGCGGGGCGGGAGGATGGGGAGGGGGCAGGCCGGGCACTCATGTCTCCGCACCAAGACAGACCCATAGATCACAGTGATAAAAAGCAGTGCCACGTCTGGACAGGGGGTTGTTCTCATGGTGCCTGGTGGGGGCAGGTGCTTCCCAGTGCTTCCCCTTGGGGCAGGTCCCCCGGTACCGGCATGGCCCGTGCCAGGAGCTGTATGTCTTGGCGGTGATGGAAGCCCAGGGCCTAAGGGCTTGGGAGTAGGGTTTGCTGTCTCATGGGGGGCCCGTGGAGGCCAGGCGAGTGACAGGGTCTGCCGGGACCCCCCAGCGGATCCAGCCTGGACTGTATGTGGCCCCAGAGGGCCCTGCCAGCCCCATGGTTGATTCAGGAAGCAAAGGGTTAAGGGGCAGCCCAGGGACCCCCGAACTACCCCAACTCTGGGTGCAATATCAACGGCGGCTTCTAGCAGCTCGCATGGGGTGGGGGAATACTGCTGTTATTTGCGGTTGTGCAACCTGTGGGAAAAAGCATATGAGGAAACTAGGGTCTCTGGCCCGGTTGGGTGGAGCCCAGGGGGTTTAGACATCTCCAGAGACACGTGTGCCTGGCGGGGATGAGCCCATAGTGAGTGGGAGGCCATGTGGGACTGGGACCCAGGAGTCTGGCAGTGTGAATGGGGCTTGGCTTTGAATCCCCTCATCCCTGGGCAGGCTCCCGGGGCAGAGAGATGCATCTCAGGGGAGTCAGGTACCTGATCTCGCCTCCTATCTTGTGGCCTCTGCATCTTGAAGCCGACTTGCTGCCCTGGAGTGCGGTGTAGAGTTAAAGGGTTAGACCTAAGGGATTTAGAACAAGGTTAAACCTAGGGGAAAAGGGTTAAATCTAGGGGATATAGGCAACTGCTTTCCCATCCACCTCCAAGGTGCCTTCCTGGGAGCTCCCCAGGGAATCTCCCCCGAGGGCCTTGCCCAGGCCCACACCGTGTGTTGGAGAATAGCACCCAGGTGTCCTGCTTCTCCCCCCGCACCATACCCCCCCAGCAGGAGACCCCAGGCGTCCATGCTGCAGCCCAGCTCTGCGGCCAAGTGCGTTTCCTGGCTGCCTGCACCAATGTGCTGATATGGGAGGATGCTGGGAGCTTGCGGCTGTGGTCAGCTGTCGTCTGGTCAATGCGGTGGTGTCATCATTGCCCCCCCTGCAGCAGGGTGCAATGGGTAGAGCAGGGAGGGCAGAGACTAGAAGCCCTTTGCTCGGGGAAGGGGGTGCAGTGTAGTGGTTATGGCTGGGGGAGCAGGACACCTGGGTCCTACTCTAGTCTGGAGGGGGTGGGGGGAGAGCCAGGACTCCTGGGTTTCATTGCCCACCCCCTGCCCGGCACTCAGCAGACCCAGTTCTGCAACCACCCTGCCAGGAAACCTTGGCCTTATTCTCTGCCCCCCCAGTTTCCCCTCCCACTGTCCCCAGATGGAGAGCTCTGTGCAGCAGGTATCTGTACAGCCCCCGGAGTGGGGCAGTGGGGAGGGGTCCACGCTCTCCCTGGGGCCTGGCATGGGGTGAAGGCACACGAGATAGTGGTGGGAAAAGCAACTGGGATGCTGCTGGGGGGCACTCCCCTCCTCGGGGGGCAGGATGGGACCTGATGCAACCTGGCTGATCCCATCCAGAGGGCTCGGGGGAGGGGGGCTATGAGACAAGAACGGACCCCAGGAGGGGGCAGATTCCTCAGGGCAGGGGGTTTCTGCCCCTCTGCTCCCCAGCACCCTGCATGTCTGACCCCCCTTGCTCTGCCCCAACCCCACAGCCTGCAAGCGGAAAGAGCAAGAGCAAAGCAAGGTCGAGCGAAGCCACGCGCCTAAGCGACACCGCCTGGTCTTCACGGACATCCAGCGCCGCACGCTGCACGCCATCTTCCACGAGAACCAGCGCCCCTCCAAGGAACTGCAGCTCACCATCGCCCAGCAGCTGGGCCTCGAGCTCTCCACCGTCAGCAACTTCTTCATGAATGCCCGGCGCCGCAGCCTGGACAAGTGGATGGAGGACGGCCGGACCCCCGCTGCGCCCGCCCACGCCCCCGGCACCGCCGTGGCCTGCACCAAAGCATGATGGGAAACAGGGGGGCTGGAGCTGGGGGGTATGAAGGGGGTCAGGATGCATCCTCCACCTGGGCCCCGGGCCTGATTTATACTCCGTGAGGCCTGCTGAGGATTTGGCCTCTCGGAGGATGTAAATCAGCAGTGAGCTGGTGCCAGCGGGGTGGCTCCGTCCCTGCCGCAGTGCCCAGCTAGGCAAAAAGTGGGGGGTGTGGCCCTTCAAGAGCCAGGTGTTTCCCCATCCCAAAGGTGCTGCCTGGTGAAGAGCCCGGACGTCTGAGTTGTGCCCTCGTCTGGGGAGTAGCGTGGGGGGCTGTGTCATCCAGCGGTTGGAGCCGGGGCTTGGCTCTTGCCTCGAGCTGGGCATGAGGCCTAGTGGTCATGGCTGAGGGGGCGCAGGGGCAGGACTCGTGGGTTCGGCGCTGGGCTCTGGGAGGGGAAACATGGTTGAGGGGACAAAGCGATGGGCAGGGAGCCCCGGACGCCTGGGTCTGATCTGTGCGTTCCAGTGACCTCAGCAGGAGATGGGGACCCCGGACGCCTGGGTTCTGCCTCTGCCTGGGGCTGTGTCCACCTTGCAGAGTAGGGCGCCCTCCCAGTGAGGGCTAAGACCCCCCACCCTGTTCCTTTGCAGCCTCCATGGTGCAGGGACCATGGAGCATAGCCCCTCCCTGCCCCGTGCCTCAGTTTCCCCACCTGTAATGCATGGGGCTAAGGCGCTTTACAATTCACCCCTGGGAGGGGCAGGAGGCTGCTTGAGCCGTTCTCACGGTGACAGAGGGTCTGGACCCCCCCCAAGTTGCTGTGGGGGCTTGGGGTGGAGGTTTCAAAGGCGGGATCAGGGGTAACTATGCAGTTCACAGGCCCCTCCCATCTCTAATGGGCACTTCTGTCCACCAATCAGGGCACCTGTGGGGGCTTGCTGGCATGTGGAGTGACTCTAGAACAGACCCCTGCTTTAAGCAGCCTCCTCCTTTAATCCGGATTAAGACAAACTCCTTTCCTGTGGCCCCCATCTGGGGCTCCCAAAGGCTCCCGGCAAAACCCACCAGGCCTTGGCTTTATCTTCGTCCCAGGCTTGGCCATGGCCTTGTGAGCCACCTGCCCCCCTTCCCTTGGGGGATAACAGCCAAGCCTGCCCAACCCAGCAAGGCCCCCCGGGTTCAGGATCGGGGCCTCTCCTCAGACCAGACCTGCATCTGTCCTCACATCTGAGCCCTCCGGGAGCTCCAGGCTTTGAAGCTGTCTGTGACTTTCCCTCCCCAGGCCAGGCTCAGTGCCGGGGGTAGCCAGGCTGGGCGGCGTGGAGGGAGACTGAGCCCGTCAGGAGATCAGAGCTACCCACAAAGAGCAGCCTGTGCTCGGACCCAGCCACCATCTGCCCCTTGGAAAAGCCGGGGCATCTCGGGGGTCATCCCCCCAGGGGTGCCGTGTCCCGGGGAGTCCTGCCCAGCAGAGACTCAGCCCCTGCCTGGATCCGTCGGATGCTGCGCTCCACCT